AAAGATAAGCACCTACAATTCATGAGGTAGGAAATCTCTCCCAAACCCTCACCCTAGACTCGAGCCAAATCTTATGCATAACCTTAACCCAAAATATATTAACCCTATTTATATTGAACCATAATACATGAAAAAAAACTAAATTGCCCGTAGACTAATAAAGATAAATTTGCCCTTAGGTGTCAATCTCATATTACTCCCCTCCAAAAAAAGACATCTTATCCTCAGTGGACAAAAATGAAGGTGTTCCTCCACCCCAGTTTCCTCTGTTTCTTCATCCTTTGTCTCCTAGTCACAGACGATAAGAACCTATAATGTTCAAACTTTGCAATGGTATCATGGGGTAAACTTCTCATCACGACAAAAACTTAATCCATAGGCTTGCTTCTATTGGATCTGTCTCTATAAGAACCTTGAATGTCGCCCCCAATTACGACGCATAACTCTTGTCCTGTGAAGCCTCCCTCTGGGCTTCCACTATTTGAGTTTTTGGTATCGTCGTGGTTATCACAATTTGGTATGACGCTCCACCTGTACTACTCCTATTAGTTTGTTCTATTGCAATCTCAAACCAAATGTGCTAATTCCATAGTTTCTCCCAAGCATTACTGTCTCGATGGATGAAAGTTGCACGTATGTCGAGCTATAAACCCTTCAAGAAGTTTCCCTCCAATAATGTTTCATAAATCCCCTCAACCGTCCCAACAATAGCTTGAATCTCTCCCTATACTCCATAACAATCTCTTCCTGAGTCAATGCAAAGAATTGCTCATGTAGTTCTCTTTTCTGAATAGCTCAGAAATGTTCCAACAAGCAATCCTTGAATTCTTACCAAGTTCTAATTGGTTGATATTGTTCTCTTTATGGCACTACGCTAGAGTCTTCCCTTCCAAATATAACGCCGCCGCCATCAATTTTTCATTCTCTGTCAACACATTAACAACAAAGAATCTCTCCACATGTTAGACCAAACCGTAAGCATACTCTCTTTCAAAAATCGACATCTTAAACTTTCTCATACATGAGTCTTCTCCCCAAATTCCTTGACTGAAGTTCATTCCACACATAAAGTGGGGGTTGGATTCATTTCCTCGACACATTGATTTATATTCCATAACTCTGGCGCGCCCCATAATCAGCTCGTCCATCCCCATAAGCTCCAGAATTGTCTTCTTCTTGGAAGATTGATGCAACAAAAGGCACAAGTGTGGTTGGATGCTACTCAGCAGTTTATCTCCATTTATCATGACATCTCTATTTCAGATCGAAATCCTTCAAATTGATCATCTCTTGCCTCAAATTGTCGGTCGTCTCATTCTGCCTACTGACTTCGTTTCAGCCATCCGGATGTCATGTCATTCCTTCGATGTGCTGACGCTTGAGTCTGTTTCCCATTCCTTCATCCGATCTCACAACTCCAGATCCACTTGAGACAAGGATGATGCCCTGAGATTGCATGAATCTCTCCCAAACTCAAACCCTAAAACTCAAGACACAATCTCTTGCATGATCATAACAATAAACATATTAGCCCTATTTAAATTAAACCATAATAAATGACAAAAGACTAAATTGCCCGTACGCTAAAAAATGACAAATTTGTCCTAAGGTGCCGATCTAACATAATTCTCATTCTCCATTTTCTCATGTGAGTATTGCTTGAGGTGTTCAATTTATTTTTGTGACTAACTTACATAAATTCTATGTTATTTACCTTTGAACTAAATTGTTCTTCTTTCTAATCCTTCTACATTAGTATCATTGCGCAATATCTAACCTTTCTTGTGCATGCCCAAACTATGTTAAGTCCATTTTTCATTATCTTACCTTGAATAGCAAATGCATAAACTTTCCTTCTATATAATCATTTTTCGGTCAATTATTCCACACATCCATCTTAATATTCTCATTTTTGGAAAATTTGATATGGCTATCAATGACTTACATGCAACACTCTAAACCAGAAATAAATCATCATCAAGCTAGATGAAGATTTACTTTCCATTAAATTTTCAAGATATTATTTGGTGCTTATTACTTCTTAGGCATTCAGCTTCATAAACACCCATTCTAAGCTACACAAAGTATATATGCTTAATATCCTCATTCTTCTTTACGATAAAACCCATGATATGTAAAACCTACTACACTAAGTATCACTTGATTTTCAAGGAATATTGACTAATAACTAATATTGCATACAATATATTCAGTCCTTATTCTATTAAACTTGTGCCCCTCTAACTTTTAAAGTTCTCTTTTTTATTTCAACTTTTCACTTATTTTAGTTGAGATTTCACTAAGATACCTTATTTTGAATATTCTTAACAAACATATACATATAAAATACAAAATATGATGTTAATTTGATTCATGATATAATCATATTACTATTTGGAACTTCTTGTTAATTCCACAACCGCTTCAAACATCAAATAATTTGCTATCAAACATATTATTAATAACTCTAACATAACTATTATATGCACAATTTTTTTTAATGAGCGCATAATCAATCATATGCTTTCTCGTGAAAATTAAAACACAAGAAAATACTTTCTAAACTTTCTTTGTTTTCACTAATTGCCAAGCGCAAAAATCAGCTTCATAGTCAATCATTATTGTATAAAACCAAATTATATATCAAAATCAATGTGATTTTTTTAAGTTGTTCTTCTTTACCCTCTCACAAAACATTATTGTATATTATATCTTATAAATATAATTTCCTCATAATCATCATAACCATGATCAACTTGTTTATTCTTAAATATCAGTACCAACATACTTGCTCTCCAATCATTTAACATCCTCTTATACTTAAAGATTCCATTGCAAATATTTAAAAATTAAGATATTCTGACATCTTCCACAACGTTTCAAATCCTTTCAAGCAAACTCAATTGTAATTTTTAGGATGAATCTATGATGTACATGATTTTATTTATTTTTCACTAAAAAAAATGCTTCGTTAAGCATCTCATTCAATTATTTCTATAAATAATGTTTTCACCCTTTCTTAATATCTTCATCTTTAACTATGACCTTAAGAATCTTCTTATCAATAAACTAAATTGATTAGGCATTTAAAATATCCCAACTCTTGGCTAAATTATTTTATATATCTCGTCTTTTTACTCAATTGTACCTAACTTATGTTATAAAACATCAGAAGAGGCAAGATGACCAAACTAATTATGGACGTAAGTAGCCAAGGGCTTGTTAGGACATCAAACAAAGATTAGGTGTGACAACTAAAAAGTAAATCTTGCTAAATCAAGGGTGAAGAGGGTAAGATGCCTCAGTCATGAAGATAGAGGGGGATGCTTAGGTATTTGATTAAGGAATAAAGCTACCATTAGAGATCATAAATCAGTCTCATTGATAAAAAATTAAGAAAAAAAATATAAAATTTGCTCTCAAAATTGAAAATAAAATCATTTTTATCAAGAGAAAAACTATCATGATCAAGGAATTTCCTAATTTTAATTTGAAAAGTATCATAAGAGGATCACATTTGCATTTAATTAGATCATTTAATATGATATTCAAATACAGGGTAGGAACCTTTAAATGTTATGAGTTTCTATCGTACAAGATTATAAGTTTAAGCCTTTTAAGTCCTTGTCTTATGGAATTAAGGGATATCTGAAAAATTATTCATTAGATAGTTAATAGTATTTCTTGAATAACACTTATCTCCTAAATTACTAGAACTTTCCAACCATCAAATGCTTCTTTTACTTAGCCAAAGAGTTCATCCTTGAAGCTATGAAAGCCTTAAATATGAAAGAGTTTGTAAGAGAAAGTTTAAGGACAAAAGAACAAGATCACTCTACTTTGAGTGAGTAGTTCCCTAAAATAACGGGCGAGTGATTTCCTCTAATTAAGATTGAGTAAAGCTTTATGCAGGTAAGCCATTCAAAGCAAAAAAACTCCCTCCTCAAATCAACATACAATTGTCATTATATTTAATTGCAATCCAAAAGAATTATTTACATATATACGACCTTTAGAAGTTGAAGAAGGGTTGCGGGAGAGGTTAAAGGGAAATTTTGATAGAGGGTTGAACAAGAAGAATGCAAAACATGTCATGTCTCTTACAATCTATCGTAATTAATTGAATCATGAACCTGGTTTCAACATTAATTGACAATAATAATAATAATATTGAGTTTCTCAATGAAGATGATATATTTCCCTAGTTTAAGGTTCACTGGACATATCAAGAAAATTTTCATATTCTAAAGTTGAGCCAAACCTATTGGTCTTAACTTTACAATTTACTACTCCTTGTTCATTCTTCAATAGTTCCACATATCTTATCAACTCTAGTTTATGGAAGTCCTTTTTCACAATTTTCTAGGCATACCCTTTTAATCACATCCGCTAGGCTCCCACATGTTAACTTTACATGCATTCCCTTTGCTGCATCTTCAACTCTCAAGTTTAATAATCCTAATCATCTAACTTTATTTTCTACAACCTTTTCTTCACAAGCGTTACTCCCAGAATTTATGCAATAAGATCATCTTGTACTCTATCCAAATACTACTTTAATATAGAAAAATATTAACTTCATTTCTACCACATCTAACTAAATTGTAAAAAAGTTCTTAGTTGTCATTGGTTGTATAGGAAACATAATGCTTAAAAGTATTATCAAGTAAACAAACATCTTAAAACTGGGGGACCCAATGGAGCAATGAGTTATTATGCATACATCTACACAACATTTTTGTTGCTCGCATATGTTTGCACTTAGAGAGTAAAAGAAAGCACATTGCGTCTTTCAACACCCCAACAAAGACAAGCTCACGTGTGCATGTAACATGGTTGGAATAACTACTAAAATATGATGGCAAAAGTGGTACAATTTTTAGGTTGAGAAACTTGAAAAAACTTATTTTTTGCAATTGATCTAAAACATATGGCAACTTGTGACTTTTAAGTTATTACTTGCAGATGCATGCATATATTGTCTAAAATGGCATCTTTACCATCCATGGATTGACTGATTGAATCATAATCCATAAAAGTTCTAGACGCCCTATTCTGAGATGGCTGCATCAGTAGAATCGTGTGCCTATTAGCCTGTAAAAGAAAAAAAAAAATCAGCCGAAAAAAAACTCTAACTTCCAAATTAAAAGATCTGATAAGTGTGTAAGAAAGCAATGAAAGGCATAGCATTATCCTTTGCGTGTCATCATTTCAGCTTATAACAAATTCTTCATTAAAACATTCACAAGTAATTATCATCCACCTCTACATTCTTAGAATCACATCAAGCAAATTTCTTCCTTATCTTGGCCACTGGTCCCTGTTCAGAGCCAACTTCCCCTCAAAAGGAGGAGCACTGAACTTTTTCTCTATCCCATGTCATGTCTCTATGCAACAGTAACCAAAAATACTAAAAGGTACATTAAAAAAATTCTGCATTATAGGTAATGAACAAACAAGAAAAGAAACTTCTAGTTCTAATAAAATACTCGTGATCTCTCATCCTCTTCCTCAAGCAAGTTTAACCTACAAAGCATGCTATTTCACAGCCTATCCAGCTAATTTCCCCTGACGATTGGTTAACCTATCCGTCTATTGAACTACATGGAGATTTCAAAACCCGCAAAGACTAGATGAGCGAAAATTTTACCAGATTTAAAATTAAAAGGAAAGAAAGCGTCGAGCTTTTGGACTAATAGTGATGATGCAAAAAGTAGACGGAAGGAAGGGGAGGGAAGCTACCATTACAGGTCGTCGATGTTGAAGGCGATCCGCAAACTTGATCACTAACGGCAGTACAGCCCAGGCCGCAGCGCAGGCTCTCTCTAAAGTCACTAGGGTGATAAGGGAGCCCAGCCAGATCGTGAGCCAGCCCGGGCTGGACTCTGATATGTGGCTCGGAAACTGAGCTTGATCAACTAGAATTAAGCCCTTTCACTCAATTCATTGGCTTGTTAGATTGATCATTTTAAAATAATTAATCAAAAATATAATTAAAATTTTAAAAAATTAAATTATTAAAAATATTTCAAAATTATATTTCTTTTTATTTTATATTAAATGATTTTTTATTAATTATCTCATAAACATTCATTTTATTTGTCAAATCATTATAACACTTATTAATATAATTTTTCTTCTTTCATATTAAGCAAGTTGACTCATGAGCTGGCTTGAACTCATAGAATTAAGCTCGAGCTCGATTAATTAATCGAGTTCAAGCTCAAACCAATGGTAGCTCAAGCTTGAGTTGTGGTGATACAGAGTGCGAGAAAGGGGGGATCTTTACACAGATGAGGATTGCGCAGTTTCTAGCCCATTTGAACCCACATTTTGATCAAAGGAGATCATTCCTCCTAGCTCAAACGACTATCCCTTAACTAGAGGAGGTCATTGCTGCAATAAAAAAGGAAGAAAGTTGCATGAAACTACACTCTGAGTCAAGTGGACCCTAGATGTGCGATCAGTATTGGTTGCCTCGAGCTCAGGTATGATAAATGTCCAAGAGGAGACACTTAAGTGCTACAAATGTGGTGAAGTTGGGCATATGGGTAAAACATGTCCTAGGCCACCTAAGGAGAGAGAGACTGGAGGATGTGGACAGGTTGGAGGTCGTGGTCATGGTTGTGTTAGTCGAAAAGACAGAAAAGGGGGCTACATGGCAAATTTGATGGCAACAAAGGAGGAAGAGACATGTGTGGCTTTTACCAATGAGGATCATGAATGTCTGGAGATGTTATAGAGGAAGCAAAAAAACAATATGAGATGGGGTTGAGGATGCTCAGTCGTCATTAAAGGGTAACATTGCCACTTATAATCACTTTGACAAAGATACTTGTGATACACGTGATCTTACCTCTATTTCCATCACATAATCATCAAATGGATAGTAGATTTGGTGCATCTCGACATATGAGAGGTGTTTCTAGAATGTTTTCTTCTTATACCCTAGCAGTACTAGAGCACAACTCGATTACTAATGGTACAACACAGCATGTAGTTTGTAAGGGTACAGTGAGGGGTACTTTCATATGACTTGTCCGATGTTTTGAATGCTCCTTCCTTTCAAATGAAAATTTTGATTCATTAATTTCATTATTCTTCACCAAAAATGTATTGTTTGTTTCAATATTCCTAAGGTGATCTTTCAAGAGAAAGGGATGAGCCAGACATCTAGGCCTGGAACATGGCAAAGTGGATTCTTGTACTTGGACCGAGAGGAGATGGACGAAGCCTTGGCATCCATAGTAGAGAGTGATGGAGTGGGACAATTTGGGAGGAGTGTGAAGGATGTATTGTTGCTACATTACAGATGCATGGGACACCCTTATTTTAGTTTGTTGAGCTAGTTATATCTTATTCTATATGAGAAGACAAATAAACAAAAGTTGGTTTGTGATTTTTGTGAGTTTGACAAACTTACTAGAAACTCGTATATCAGTTCTGAGAATAGGAGTTGCCAAGATGATGTGCCTGAGAGCCTTGTTGTTTGAGTTTAAGTGGACCAAGGAACTTAAATGAAGTTGTGGTGCGACAATAAGTCAATAATCAGCATCGCAACAACACGGTGCAACACGATAAAACTAACCATACGCAAATTGGTAGATTCTTCATCAAGGAAAAACTAAATAATGAGCTATTGGAGCTAAGTCATGTAGCCACTAGAGAGCGAGTGACTGACTACCTCACCAAAGGACTTAGCTCATTAAATTTGTCTACGTTATGTGATAAGATGGGCTTAACAAATATCTTTTGCGTATCTTAGGGGGAGTGTTAAGAATTGGACCTTATTTAGGTTCCTATTGGTAAATAAGGGAATATTGAAGAAGTCTTGGATTTATTTGTAAAACATTCTAATACCTTATTTAAGCTTGAATTATGAATGTACCAAGTAGGTTTTGAGCAATTTTTTCTTCTTATATAAAATGGAAAGAAGATTTTAACATGTATAATAACCAAGATATTTTGATGGTTCAAATTTGGTGATTATGATTGAAAGATTACTGTCCATACTTTCTAGCAGCATAGATATTTAAATACATAAGAACTTTGTGGAATGTAAATAAATTCCAGTTCTGATATTATAAAAGAAACAAAAACAATTTTAACATAAAATATTGTACAAAAAATGAATATTTAGAAAATTAGTCCACCTCTACATAAGACTCTTAAAAATGCTGACAAAAACAACTATATAGAATGATTCATCCAACAAAGGCCATAAGGTATCTTTTTTCATTATATTATTCAATAATAACATTATGAAACACCTATAAACATCTTTCTTTTTGAAGAAATTTAAAACCTTTCCATCTCATTTGTCTTTTTCTATACATCCACAACATGAGCAAGCCTTTTATGAACTATTACAACAAGCAGGATAAAAAGAATGGCCAAAGAGCACTCCACCGAATATCCTTCTAATCCTATGAGACTGCCCCTTTTCCAATGATAGCTGCCAGTCAGATTACGGCGATGCACAATCCAAGTTCACCCTAACGACAATAAGGCTTCTAATGAGGATTCTTTTGAAAAGGCCGACAAAATGCATCTCAGACGATCAAATGGTAACACCAACAGGTTATTAAACGCCTTATTATGAGTAGCTATGAATATGGAATGGTGCTAACGCCAGCTATGAACATTAAAAAGTCTCGGAGAGTTATAGATATGGAAAAACGCCATAATGACTTATAATGTTCCTATTAAAATAGGGACAAATATGTAACTCTACTAGATACCCCTAAGACCTATAAATAGGGGGTCATATCTTCAATAAAGGTTTACTGAATTTATTCTCTCAGAACCTATGTTGTTGTACACTTTACATTCCTCAATTTCTCTCTCTCAATTTCTCTCATCCGTCAACAGCTCTATACCTTGAGTGTGATTCACAGGATATTTTTGGATTTAACATATATGTAGTTGATATGGATGTTAAATTTTTTGAAATATCATCATAATGATTATCTTTATATAGAATTGATTTTATAAATCATCTTTGATTTTTTTCCCATAAATTGCTAGTTTTTATTTCGACCGGATCATTTACATACATACAAACGATTCTTATATATTTACACGTCTAAAATTTAAACTTTGATATTTACATACCTAAATTGATATTTAATATCATATAGAAAATATAACTATCAAAAACTTTTTAAGAGTGAAATACACCTTTCCATGCATAGGTTGATAACACCAAAGTGTTAGACATACAAAGATTAAACTTTAGGAACTTTAGGTGTTAGATATTGAAGATTGTATGTAAGAAGGCAATATAATAGAAACTTGTATATTTTGCACTTTAAGAGAGACTACAATTGTGTATATATAGAATAGAAGAAAGATTTCAGCAACATGCATAATAACCAACCTACCTTGAAGATTCAGATTTTGTGGTTAACGATTACAGTCCTTACTTTCCAGCTGCATAGGGGTGACATGTAAATACATAAGAATTTTGTGGTATGTATGTAAAGTCCGGTTCTGATTTAACAGCAGCAATTTTAGCAGAAAATGATTGTACATAAAATGAATATTTGGACAATTAGGCCACCTCTACATAAAAACTCTCTTAGAAATGCTCACAAAAACAGCTATACAAAAGGACAGATCCAACAAAGACCAAAAGATAACTGTTTTCAATATATTATTCAATAATAACATTATGAACAGCTATAAACATCTTTCTTTTCTAGGAATTTAAAACCTTTCCATCTCATTTGCCTTTTTTCTATACATCCATAGAAACTCGTGAGCAAGCCATTTACGAATTATTACAACAAATAGGATAATAAGAAAAATCAAAATCCTCTTAAGAAATAGCTAGCACCCTCAACAGAGCACAAATTTAAAAAAAAAAAAAATACAAATCACATTTCAGCTTTACATTCCCATCTGCTTCATCCAAAGTGACCATTTAATAGCCTCCAAAAAATTTTCATTCCTCTGAAGAGCAACTATAATGTTTGTATAGGTAACTCTATCAGGTTCAACCCCTTTAGCTCTCATTTCCTGTACGACATTCACTGCCTCCTCAACCATCCCTGCCACCCCATATGCCTTAATCAAGGTATTATAGCTATACAAATCCGGTTCCAAACCTCGCCTTTTCAGTTCCTCCAGCACCTGCGAAACGTCCTCAATCCAACCTTTCTTCCCATAAATATTCATCATTATATTATAAGTATAGTGGTCAGAAGAACAGCTTGCTCTCTCCATTTTCCTTTGAACATCCTTAAACTCCTCTATCAAATCTTCCTTTCCATAAGCATCCAACATGCAGTTATATGCCTCGAGCGAAACCGGAAAACCCGAATTCTCCATTCCACGGACAACGGATTCCATCTTCTTGAAAACCTTGCTCCGCCCATACACTGCAATAATCGTGTTATATGTAATAACATCAGCCACGCCTCGCTTTCGAGCCATCAAGAAAATCTTCTTCACCTTCTTAAGAAGACCAGCTTTTCCGTAGATATTGAGCACCGCATTGAAGGTGATTGTATTGCAAGTATAACCAGATTGAATCATCTCATCAAAAAGCCTTGATACTTCATCTATGGGGAGCGCACGACCGCAACAGTTTAGTACACAATTGTACATTGCCTCATCCCAACTCACTCTGCTCCTCAGTATCCAATAGTAGGTATTTGCCAACTTTTCATGCATGTCACACTGCTGGTATATTCGTAGCATGTCGCGGAAAAGGAATGTATCAGGAACTATATCGCTCTGCTTCTCCATTGCATCCAAAACCAAGCAGGCTTCTCTCAAGGAACCAGATTTCATGTACATTCGCACGACCACGCTGTAAGCGATCAAATCGAAGCTGATTTCAGAAGCTTTCAATACTAAATAGAGATTCTCGGCCTCCGAAAATTTGTTCATGGCGCAATAGATGCCGATCATAGTGCACGTGATTTGGAGATTAGGGTGTTTTTCCAATTTCGGCATTTGATGGAAAGTTTTGTGGGCATTTTCATATTGGTTCTCTTCCTTGAAGGAGCATATTAGTAAATGATAGAGATTTTCTTCAAATTTATAATCCTCCCACTTCTTATCATTCAAAACTTGTAATGCCTCTACCAGAAGAGATTTCTGCACATATGCCACCACAAGAATAGAACATGCTGTTGGGTCAAACAAAATTTCTTCATAGAATGAGTTTTGTAGGATAGAAGGAATGCTTTCTATCCTCCCAGCTCTTTTGTATGCCTGTACAAGGCTACTGAGAATTGAAGAATACTGGCAGCCCGCAAGTTTCATGTCTTTGACAGTTTGAATTATGCCTTTTTCATCATTATGCCTCGCTTGAATATTGACCATTGTATGGAAGTTTGAAGAATTTGGCTGAAATCCAGTACCCTTCAGCTGCTCATAGTACCAAAGTGCCCTTTTATAATCATTATTTCGACCAAATCCTTCAATCATGGATCTATAGGTTGTCTCATCTGGCTCCAAACCAGCACCTTTAAGACACTGGAAAGTTTTTTCTGCAGCCTTTGTATTAGATACTCTTCCATAACCAGTTATCAGAGTGTTATATGCTACAATATTTGGTGTAAATCCTGCTACTTTCATTGAATTCAACACTGATTCAGCCTCATTGAGCTTCCCTTTCTGGCAATAAGCGTTGAGACGAACCAGCCAATTCTCAAAGTTAGGAGAGACTCCATCTTCGTCCATTTGATAGATGATCTCCTCTGACTTCTCATGCATACCCAAATGAGTATAGATTGTTACCATTGAAGAATAAGCACTGACACACTGAAGGTTGCAGCTCCTCATGTAGCTAAATGTAAATTCAGCTTCTGAAAGATTTGTGGTCTTCTGGTAAAGATTCATGAGCATGCCAATGGTAGAAACGGTAGGTTGAACTCCACTTTGTAACATAAGACGAAACCACCTTGCGCCCCATGCATCTATCTGTCTTTTAGCACACGTATAAATTAACTGATTGAATGTTTCAGAATCCAACTCAAAATCAGAAGTCATAGCCATTTCTTGAAGCAATAAGTTAGCTCCAACCCAGTCCTCCCTTCTTGCCAAAACTCGTAAAGCCAACTTATATGCAGAAGCATTATTTAACTTTCCGTTGCTCTTCATCCATTCAAAAAAGTGAATTGCCTTCTCTTCATTCCTCCTCTCAAGAAGTTTAAGAATCAAATTGCATTGTTTTGTGCTGCTCTGGGGTGTTATTGTAGACAGAACAGACTCAAATCCACCATTATTTCTAATATACTTAGATGATCTCACTTTGTTAACAGAAAACTGCTTGGAAATCTTTATCTGTGCTACTTTATTCATCAGATGAACCCGGTTCCATATTTTTCTCTTGCTCTTCTTACCTGCAGTACTCTTCTCGCGCCATGTGCGTAACTCCGCTAATACAGAAACTGGGCTGTTTGGAGAAGAACCCCAATTCACTAAAGCCGCATTATCTTCTAAATTTGCTTGGGACTCATCTTCTGATTCAGACTTCAAGTTGAAAATATCATCCCCTTCCAGGGCATGAATTAAAATTTTATCTGATCTGTTGTTTCCAGGATTCAAATTACACCAGTTCAAGCAAGTACTTGGAAGAAAAGCTACTCTAAAACTAAATTTCTTTGCAAATTGCTTCAATGTTTGAATAGAACAAGAGCCCTGGCATCTTATAGTGTATTGATACGCCCCTTTCCCACTTCTAGAAGTAAATCCAACACCAAAATGTGGCACGCACAAGCTACTCCCACCCCAATCTCTCATATTTGGATCACAGGTTCTAGAGAAACCTATAGATCTTTTTTATTCATAGAGATCTGGAGCAACGGAAATAGTAAAGGAACCCATGATATCTATGAGCTCAACATTCCCTGTAGAAAAACCCCTAATTATCGACCAGAAAACCCGGCAAAATAAAAAAGAAAAACAATCACCTCGCCCTAAATTGTAAGTTAAAATGATTTTCAATGATCTTATGAAAAATTTAGTAGATGGATGCCCTAAAATTCTCATCTTTTTCTGTAAATTTTAAAAAGTGCAGCTTAGGAATCAAGAATCTGTACATACAAAACCGAAAAATGCTGCAAAAAAAAAAAAAAAAAGAATTCAACAAATTCTGATAGCTACAACGGAGTGAGGGCATTTACCTTCCTATCGAAACCGTGAAGCTCAAATTTGATCGGCTAATGGAGCAGGGCAAGCAAGCAGTAGCGAGCTGCTAAGCTCTGATAAATATCTGAGAAGCTGAAGCTTTGGTTCGTGAGAGAAGAGGAGGATAAAAGATCGAAATGAGTCGGGTAGGGTTCTGCAATGTTGGGCGGGTTGTGTTACCCGACCCGAACTAAGATTAGTCTTATCTTCCTATAGTTAGTTGACCATTTCGGCTCAAAACCGATTTGAATAGATTTAGTGTAGTTAAAAATCAGCTCGTGGCACATTATCTTTGATTTAGAGCCGACCCGGCTTGAAATTGTATCGAGCTGGATTGGGCTCGAAATCAAAATTAGTTGGCTCAAATTGAGTCATTTAGATCCGTTTCAACATAAACGCTTGATCCAGCTCAAAATTGAAGCTTACCGACTCAAATTCAGTTATTTGGATTCTTTCCAGCTCTAATTCAGCTCAAATTGGCTCTCGTGACTGATTATATTCAATTTTATATGGCATTATATATCTTTAATTTTTATAAATAAAAATACTACGAGCCGATGTCAAGTTAATGTGAGCCGATCCATGTATCACTAAAAAAATTTGATCCAAAATATAGGCTCATAGTTCAGCTCGTTTATTTCAATTAAATCTTAGGGTGCGTTTGGGGCAGCTTGTGCATTTCAGGATAAGCGGCTTATTTTGAAAAGCGGCCCGCTGGTCGACTGAATAGATTGTCATGCGGTCTGCATTTTGTGTAAAAATAGAACCGCGTTTTAGGATAAGCGGGCAAAACGTGCAATTCAAACTGTACCGCGGCGTTTTCAAATACGCCCCTGCACTTATAAGCTGCCCCAAACGGGGCCTTAATCCGAGCTAGAATTTGAATCAATTTTTGAGAAATTAATGATCTTCGAGCTAAATTCAAAGCCCAAATTGTTCCCTTCTTAGGCTAGATTCGACTTTGTGCTCTTAAATTTTATACCATGGAAGTTTGATTAGTGATGAAAGTAACTGAAGTGACTATTATTTGATTTGGTATTAAGGATATATTTGAATATATTTTGTGATAAACTCCCTTATATGAGATGCTATAGTGATATGCATTTAGAATTATGAGGTATTCAGAATAAAACTTTAAGCACAATTATATTTTTGAAATGTTTTGTTGTGTTTAAAAAATGTAGGAGTTTTTTTTTTTTTTTTTATTGCTCGCAAAATAAAACTAACATTTGAAATATGATGGCGGTCAAAAACAGATAGCAAGTATATGTGTTGAAAATTATTGTATGAAGGTGATGATTGGAGGTTGTGGCAATTGCTTAGGTTGGGCGGGCAACATTGCAAATTCCAATTAGACAATGGATTGGGTGGGATACTCCAAATATCTCATAAAAGTACTCTATGATTCAATTTCTTCCAACCAAACACTTGAAATTATTTTAAACTTTGGCCTTTGATTTACTCTACTTTAATAATATTTGTAACTAAGCATACCATATGTAACTTTTTATTATTATTATTTTTATGGTGTAAGTAGTATTTTTATAAAAAAATATGAAATATTCTAAAAGGCCTATTTTCTTATGAATTTAAGATTCACAAATTTGAGTGATGCAATGTCGTCTAAAGTCTTATCTGTGATATCAAGCTTGAGACCAATTTAGACGAGATGTTGCTTTCTTCGATGTTGGTGACTTTGGATGTGCCTCAAATTAGGATTCCCAGCCGAAGGCCCATCTGAGAAGTTGTCAAAATTAGAGCCAATGATTCCCTTATAGATTATCTTTAACGATATCAGTGAACCTTGACCAATCCATCGACTCCTCCCGTTAGAAGCACCTATGCATGAACCTACTCCACTATCTTAGTCAATTCCTCACTCCCAGACATCATATTTTCTAATGACACTTTGTATAGTCTTTAGTACTTATTTGAATTATTTCTTAAGTTGTACTGATACTTGACACAACAACTAGAGAAAAACCAAGAAGAAATAGCCATTTACAATTCAATAGTGAGTATAAACGAATATTCTTAAAAAAGGAACTAAACCAACTTCTAAATATAGCTAATACTTAACATAAACAAAGGGAGTAGAAAATTTTTCATGTTAAACAAAAGCATTAGCAGAACGTTGGGAAGGCAAGCTGGCATTAAAGACAACGGAACAACTGCTGCTATTTACACGGTAATGAACTCTCCAGACTTCTCATGCTGCAAGAAGCTTCTTGATATCTTTCTGCAAAGCAAAAAAAAAACCAGAAGAAGAAAAATCGTTTTCAGAGATGTGAAATATGAAATACGAAGACAGCAAAATGAGCACCTTGCTTGTCAATTCTTAAATCCAGATAATACCACCAACATTCTTTTGAAATTATTCCATATATCGTGTTTGGCTAGAATGAAGAAAAAAACGAACGTTTTTTATTTCAATTTGCGACTCGACAGAAGAACAGAAGTTGAAATATTTTACATATTAAACCAGATAAACAGTGATAACATTTAGGCTAATCAGAGCACAAGTCATCAACAACAATCACATCAAAACATTCAAATATAACATTAGAGAATACATTTGTAATATCATTGATGCGTGCTGGAAAATTCATGGCGGTAGAGTAATGAATTATCGTCTCAGAGTTGCACGAGGATTCAACACACACTCAGATGAAAGAGAATCAATTTGTGATGATAGTAGAAGATTTTACGTGAAAAACTCATAAAAGGGAAAAACCATGGGGTCTGACCCAGTTATAAAAATTCACTATAAATTGATGATTACAAAGGCCCCTTTTTCCCACAGACGGGAAATGGTCACTAGATTTTCCAAGGTACAACGTCGAGCGACGTCTAGTTAGCGGTGGTCGACGAAAGTCGACAACGGTTGGCGGTGGTCGACAGAGGTCAGCGGTGGTCGACAGAAGTCGACAGCGGCCGACGGAGGTCAACGGAGGTAAGCGGTGGTCACTGAAGGTTGGTGGCGGCCGACGACGATCGACGATGACAGGGATGATGTTGGACTTGAGCTCCTCAATGTCTCAAGTTCTCTCTCAAGCCTCCTCCCCTCATGTGAGGGGTGAGGCTCTATTTATAGTGTTCTGGGTGCATGAATATGAATCATTTTGATCAGACGACCCATAGAGCTTCCCTCGATCGGATGACGTTTGATGTATATTTGAGTGCCTTAACGATGTCAGAATTGAACAATCTCGGGTTCGCTGGATTCATATTGTCGAGACGCTCGATTCGACTATGAACTTGCAGAATTCGACATTCGTTTGATCTTTCAAATGTGTCCCGAAATCTTCCAAGAATGATCTAATTGCTTGATATGGGCTTGATTTAACTCGGATTGGACTAACCTTGATATTATTAGGTCAATCTCATCAAGTATGTCAGTTTGACTATAAGTTTGCTAAAATTGAAGCTATGAATGACTTTTAATTGAAGTTTGAAAGTTTTTAGCTCAAAAAGTTGCATCGAAATTCGTGTCATGTCTCGAGATTTGTGATGGATGATGAAAATTTGTCAGTGGCGTATCGATTGCCCCCTATTTTCGCATGAGATCAACGTCGTCCGAAAATATCTAGATCTAGAACTTTTTTATTTTTGCCGTGTCAAAAAATATATATATATTATTGCGTCATTCTATATGGTATAAGAAGCTCTTATATCCCATAAAAATGAAAAAGTATCATTTGGTTGTGTTGTACTTTTTCATGTGGGAGAGTGGGGCTCGAATCCCACTCAAGACTGAAAAATGTTTTACCAGAGCCTGAAGAAATCGGGCGAGCCGCCTGCCCGAAGTTAATGAGGCGCAGATCCTAGCACGTGGCCCAAAGTAGAAGAGACAGACTCGAACGGGTGGGTAGAAGCTACAAAAATCTAAACCGTGCGCATGGGAAGGCGGGCCATCTAAAAATTTAGGAATTTTATGTGGGAACAAAAGTTCTTTTCTTTATTTAATTTTTGGAATATGAAAAGTTTTTTTTTTATGAGATGTTTTTTGTTTTAATGATAAACAATTTTTTTAATGAAAATTTGTTTTTTTTAATGAAAATGGTGGAGTCCTCATCCCCGCCTAGCAGGTGATTTGAGATTTCCCAAAAGAAGAAAGTCGTTTCCATCCTGCGTAGCAGTCAAACAACGGGATTTTCTTTCTCGTTATGTCGAAGAATTGCGGTGAAATGTTGCGGCGAAGAGTGGCGGCGAAGTGTTGCGGCATAACGTCATGGCGAAGCGTCGCGGCGACGCGACGCATCGTGGCGGAGCGTTGCGTATTCCAGAGGAGATTCTCGTGTCGCTCTTGCACATTTTGAAAGTGATAAAGAAATGATATAGTTTTTTTGTCTTGCCATGAGTGGGGATTTTCATGCTTATATGGTGGCGATATTTGAAGACCCCTTAACGATCATCAGAAGTACTGAAATTTTAGGAAGGCAATGCCGACGCTGATTGAAGATGAAATGATTTGTTGTACCCTTGTATATGTATATTTTAGTATTTGTAGCATTTTTAATCACCTGATGTTACAATTGTTGATAATAACAATGTATTTCTTTGTTGCTTTCACGGTTGTTGTGGCTTCTTAATTGTGCCAAAATTCTTCTGAGGCTCGTAGCCTTATGAGGAATTTTATGCACTTGTGTCTTCTGAGGCTTGTAGCCTTCTGAGGTATTTGGTATATCTGTGTCTTCTGAGGTTTGTATCATTTTGAGGTTTTTGATGTACCTGTGCCTTCTGAGATTTGTAGCCCACTGAGGTCTTTGAGTGTACATGTGCCTTCTGACGTCTTTGATGTACCTGTGTCTTCTGAGGCTTGTAGCCTTCTGAGGTCTTTGAGTGGAGACCCTGTTAACCACTTGCTCTCATGGAGTCTTTCTAGTGAGGACTCTATTCACTAATAGATTCCCATCGAGACTTGTCTCTTGGGCTCGTCTTCCGGGGGCATGGTAGCTTCTCATTGAGTTTTGTCGCTTGGGCTTGATTTTTAGGATTAACGTATCTTCCCGTTGAGTCTTGCCTCTTGGGCTTGACTTTTAGGGGCATGACAGCTTCTCATCCTCATGGGGGTTTTCTACACAAAAACTTTTCATGATAAAATAATAAAATTTCAATGAAATGACATTTTAAAGCAACATGAAAATTTTACTAAAATAAAATTAAGAGTTTATAAGTCATTCTTTTACTCAAATAAGATGACTTGGAGTTATACTTCTCATTCGATAACTCCAACGATTCTCTTCTAGTTCCCCTCACATTGTTCTTGTAAATAGCGACCCAAGTGACCTTGACGTATTAGACGTTCAATTTCTACATTTAATTGAAAACATCTTTCAGTTGAATGTCATTTTGCTCGGTGGAAATGACAATATTGAGACAGATGTCCACCATATGAATTTCTTAACGGCTTTGGCCACTTGAGAGTCTCTTCATCCTCGATTGTCATTAAGATGTTGACACGTGATGTGTTAAGTGCGTGTATTCTTTTTCTGATCATTGCTCACGATTCCCTTGTGGTTTGAACTTTTTTCGCTGTGATATTTGATTAGTATCCCTAGCGTTATTCTTGTGTTTGCCCCCCAATCGTTTAAACTGTTCCTTGTAAGTAATGATGGCCTCATATGCAAAGATTTGTGCCTCAACACGATGAACAAGGTCAGCATAAGAACGAACTGTCTCCCGCATCAATAATGAGTAGAAGGGTCATGGGCGGAGCCCTTCAAGGAAAATTCCTCTTAGTAACTCCGGATTTACTCCCGGAATCTGTCGGGCTTCAATAGAAAATCCGTGGGAGTAATCCTTCAGTGATTCTCCTTCGCTTTGACGAATTCTTGAGAGATGGGATGAATCCTTTATGATTCGTCGGTTTGCTACGAACTATTCCACAAACAGTCTGACAAGCTCATGAAAGGTGTTTACAGTGCCCCCTGATAGAGAGTAGAACCATGTTCGTGCTTGTCCTTTAAGAGTAGCCGGGAAAACCTAACACATAAGTGCATCAGAGGCACGTTGAATGTGCATGATAGTTCGATAATGATCAATATATTTGTAGGGGTCTGTTATCTCTTCATATGTGTCGATGTTCAGAAGCTTGAAACCTGTTGGGATGGGTGGCGGAGGACCGCATCCGCTAAGAGAGAGGATTCATGGATATTACGGTGAGTGTAGAAGCGATCATTTTTCTCTAGAGGGAACTCTTCCCGGACAAGACATCGTAGTTCATGACGAATGACATCACCTGGAATGACAGGGAGATGTGACGATGTCGAATGTGCTGCACGAGATGGATGAATGAAACTTGCGGTATCTAGGAGTTCAGCATCACGACCTGACAGAGGAAGTGTTCCTTCTCCAGGAAGGGGGCCAGTACGAGTTCGTCCGAGCGGTATGTTTCTAGTACGTCGCGGAGTTAATGGTAAACGAATTTCATCAAACGGTGTAGGTAGCAGCTGTTGAGCCCCGCGTAGTTGTAGGATTACTAGTTGAGACTTTATATTCTACGCATTCGATCTTTTATTGAAGAACCCGAAACACCTTCGTTGGCTGGATAGCGTCTTCCAGGGAGGGAAAATGAAGAAGCATGCCGCCCTTGCCTTCGTGACTGCTCCTTGGAATGATGGGTGTTGGAGTGGGATGCTCCGTGACCATGTAGTAAACCGCGTAAGTACTGTAGTTGTGGGATTGAAGCTTTCCCACAAACGACACTAAACTGATGCGTGATGGAAAATTCGTGGCGGTGGAGTAATGAATTATCATCTTAGCGTTGCACGAGGATTCAACACGCACTCAGATGAAGGGGAATCAACCTGTGATGAGACCAGAAGTTTTTACGTGGAAAACCCTTAAAGAGAAAAAACCACGGGTCTGGCCCAGTTATAAAAATTCACTATAAGTAGATGATTACAGAGACCCCTTGTCCCACAGACGGGAAAGAGATACTAGATTTTCAACTGACAGCGTCTGGTTAGCGGTGGTCAACTACAGTCGATGACGGTCGACAGTGGTCGACGGAGGTCAGCGGTGATCGACGATGGTCGACAGCGGTCGGCGGAGCGGTGGTCACTGACGGTTGGCGGCGGTCGACGACGATCGACGATGACAGAGATGATGTTGGACTTGAGCTCTTTCTCAATGCCTCAAGTTCTCTCTCAAGCCTTAGAGGTCAACAAATCCTCTCTCTCATGTGAGGGGTGATGCTCTATTTATAGTGTTCTGTGTGCAATTAATGCAAAAATA